AGAACTTACAATTGTCTCTACCGTATAATAAAAAATCTGGACCCTAAATATCAAAATATAGTCCAAATCATCTCAGTTGCCATGTACTGATTATATAATTACTGTGAGGAAAGCATTTTCCAGGCCTTTTTTTCCAAATGTAATTTTCCCAATAATCCTAGGAGGCATGCACTATTACTATTGTCTTTCTTAAAGGACTTAGAAAAGTGAAATAACTTCCCAAGGTCAAAGGTGGAGCCAAGTCAATCTCCCTCTGAACCCCAAGTTCTTCTCTGCTCTCCTTTCCGCAATGTCAGTCTTCCCTGTACAAGTGAATCCCTGAGAGACTTCTTTAAAATACAGATACCAGGGCACCAATCCTGGAGGTTCTGATACAACATGCTTGTTCATGTTGGTAGGAATCTGTGTTGATGTCGAGCAGCAGAGGTTATTCTAAATCGGATGCTTTGTGCCTTACTTTGAGAACCAGAGCTCCAGGACCTATTAAATATCCAGCACACCTCTTAGTCCATTCCCTTCTTTTGAATAATGAAGGTCTAGCCCCCAGAGATTAAAAGGCTTTCTCGAGGCTGATCCACTAGTCCAGAGCAGGGAGTCAGCCGTCCCAGCATTCTTTCCAACACATTCCAGTGGAGAAAAAATTCAAGCCTCTTAGAGAGCTTTGTTCTTCCCCTCATTTTTTCAGTTCTTCAGGCAGCCAAACTCCCCTGGAGCGTCCAACAATATGTTCAAGACCAGCCCGGAAAAATCACACCACTAATTCAAAAAGTCTCAGTGCTTTGTGCCCACGTACTGCCAAAATTGGAAGCAGTGAAAATCATTTAAACATTACTTTTCTTTAATTGTGAGAATATCAGTGTGTGAAAATTGCCACGTGTAACCTTAAGAGTTGTTATAGCTTTCTAAAAAGCAAGTTTGCCTTTTCCAACTGCCATTCAAGCAAGTATTGTTTCTCCTTTTACACATCCCCATTAAACTCAGCACAGTATTAAACCTATATAATATCTAAATACGGTTCAGAACAAATTCTTAAGGGTAGATGTAAATGGAAATCTTATAATTCTATGAGATTATTACAATTAATTTACTGTTAAGCTGCCATTCTCTGATTTATTGCCCTGAGATTGGTGTTTTTCTCTCTGTATTTACCGTTTGTGTTGAATGAGCAAACATCAAGATGGCTGGCTTAGTGCCAAGGTTCAGCAAACAATTGTTCCCCTGTTTGTGGGCTTATTTATTTATTTCTGAGTGTTCTCCACAAGAATTTGTCATACCAAGTCTCTTAAAGGAATACCTAAAATATGCTTGGACTCCACAATTGGGGGCAACTCCATTAATTCACAGCTGGTGTTATTGCAAGTGTTAACACATGCATTGCAAAAAAAATCTTGCTTATGCAAATGTGCTGTTGCATGTGTTTTTTTAATGACAATATTCAGGTACAAATCTACTTTAGTAATACTAGTTTTATTTACCAGACAACTGTTCATAGACAGATTTGTGAGCTTTCTAAATGTGTTTGGCACAGTCATTAAGGCAACCTCTCCCAGAGGATTTGGAAGAAAGAAACTTTAGGGACCTCCTCATTTCTAAATAATACAATGTATGTATGAAGGGGATGGGGGTGACTTTCCCAGAAATACAATGTTTGGGATGAAATGTCTGACAAAGGGACATGCAGAACCAGAACAACATGGAATTTTCAAATTAGGTTTTTGAATTCAGGATGACACTCGAAATGCCACTGGTTTCTTACAATCTGGTGCGCTCTTGTCTTTTTCTAGAAGCTACAATGCGCCCTGGGCTACATCTCAGATGCAAAACAGCAGGGCAGCACAGTGAAGTTTTGTTCCCTCTCTATAGCCCTCCTGTTGAACAGGGTGCTCCAGCGAAGCATGGGAGGGTTTTACCAGCTGAATGAAGCCACTTAACAAAATGTTTTACAGGCCTGGGCATTCTTTCGTTTAATGAGATAAATCCCCCTTGTTTGACAGCTATTCCTTGGAGTTTTTTCCCCTCTAGAAGTGTCACAAACTCTTTCTGGCCATTAGGGCTTCGTGTAGTTATTTAATGTCCTGATGGGAATTACTTTATCATTTTAAATCAGGATCAGCTGACATTTTCTGTGAAAGGCTAGATAATAAATATTTTAAGCTATGCAGGCCATATGGTCTCCATTACAACGACTCAATTCTGCCGTCGTAACACAAAAGCAGACATAGATCATATATAAACAAATGGGAAGGTCTATGTTCCAATGAAGCTTTATTTATGGACACTGAAGTTTGAATTTCTTCCTTTGATTTTTACCATTTAAAAACATAAAGTCCATTCTTAGTTCATGTATCATATAAAGTGTGCCCGACTTGGCTCATGGGTCAAAAAAGGTTATTTTTCTTTTTTTTTTTAATTTTAAAATTTTTCATTTTAAGGACGGGTACAATTCAGGGTTAGGTATAAGAATATTCACTATGCAGGTACCCTTGTTGATAAGGTGTTTCCCCCCATCCCCAGGCAGATTCCCACTACTACTCACTCTACCTCCCCGTACCCTGCCCCCTGCAGTTACCCGCGACTGCCAATCAAAAAGGGTTATTTTTCTAACCCTTGCTGTAAACCAATAATGGATTAAAGCAGAAATACAAGCATAGCCATCAGTGTCCTTCATTTATCTAATCCTTAGCAACCACTCAAACTGTTGCTATTGCTGTAATGGTTGGGACAAGTTTGGGAATGAAAAGTAGCACATAATTTTTCTATTTGTAGGAAGAATACTAGTGAACTCGGTGAATTTAGTGTTGGGATCAGAACTGATTTCTCTCTGTGTCCCTGCTCCATATAAAAGTTTGTCTCTGACCTGAAATCGGAAAGCCCTCAATATGGAATCTGAAGCCCCTGGATTGCATGTGATCAGTCCTGCCCTGATATACTAATGCTCTGAGTGCTGCAGAAAGACATCTGCTCTCTGGTTTATCCTGCATCCCATGCAGATTTTGCATCCCAGAACAGAGAGAAAGGGGGAAAACTGACTCCAGAGCTTGGGTGATGGCAACTAAGAATTTCTTTTCTCCTTCACCCCAACCCATTAACAAAGATCCCCTCTCAGTCAAGGAAGAGGGATAGAAGATAGAGCAGCATCAGAACTCCTAGTTGTAATTTTTGGCATAAAGGCCTTCCTAGACTAGAAAGGCCTTGATAAAATGAAGCCAGTATTTCTTTTTTTCTATGCTTGATTAGCTAAGGTCTTCACTCTCCCCCCATCATTTTCCTTCTCACTTCTTTCTCCTTTCTTCCTTTTTGCTTTCTAGTTTTGATTTAATATTCAGAAGTGTTCTATACCTTTGCTATTCAAAGTGTGGTTGTATTCATTACTTTGTTTTTAGCATACTTAATTTAAAGGTAAATTTATATAATTTAATAATGGCTGTGTTTAACCACTGGGCCCAAGTATTCCTGATAATCAGCTCTCATGAGCCAGCGCTAGTCGGCCCTAACACAGCCCTTGAAAAAGGGTACTTTCACAACTCGGGACTATAGTCCTAGGATATCCGGAAGACACTGCATAACACATTTGGATCTCACTCATTCATCCACAGCAAACCTCTGTTCACAGAGAGCCCTAAAAGAAAAAAAAAAGTTGTGTGCAGTATTTCACTCTCACTGTTCTACCAACATCCGTTCAGCTTTCTCAAGAACATTTTATGTGTCCTAGGTTTTGGAATATTCTAGTTGAGAATTTTCCAGTTTCCAGTTAGAGTATTTTAAGTGACATATTAAACCCTTGAGTTAATACTTTCAGAGATGTTCCCTTTGTTTCACCCCTTCATTCATGAATCTATACTGTCTGTTGCTCCACATTTATAATGATTTGATTCAAGTTTCATCTCCTCTTCTTTTTTCTTCCTCAATTTAAGTAAAAGGAAAATTGACAACAAGGAGAGAGAGTGAATTAGATTTGAATGCTGTAAATAATCAACTTCCTGTAACAGAGTTAACCTTTAATTTCCTGGGAAGGATCCAGGATTTTTATATATCTAATAATCCTTAGTTGTATTGTGGATATATGAAGGAGGGACAGAGTCAGGACTCCTAGTTCCTCACCCTAGCTCCCTGGTGGCCTTGGGAAAGTCAACCAGCTTCTGTGAGTCTAAGTTTGCAGTCCATAAAAAGAAAAGTTGGTAGATCTCCAAGATCCCTTTCAGATCTTTTTTTTTTCTTCAATTCTCAAAAGTAAATAAATCATCGAAAGCGGGATAACAGAAAGCAACCAGGAAAGACCAATTTGTTGCCTGTTTGAGCAATCTTCCTGTCTTTTTTGAAGGATCACACCGTTTTTACTTGATTCTCTGAGGAAATATGCATAGCCATGCTCTTTCCTTAGACCGTAACAGCTTATAAAAATGATTTGCGTAACCCATTTTGCAGCTGCCGAGTGTTTATGGTCCTAAATGTCCGCCGACTGGACACCTGGGTCACCTTCCAGACAGTCTACACAGTCTGCACCTCGTTGAAAACAGCTCACGTGAGTGGCCCAGGCACGGGCGTGTCCCACGATGCTTTACCAAAAAAAAAAAAAAAGATCCCGTAAGATGCCTTCGACTCCAGTACTTTTAAACTAACGCCGCCAGGCAGAGGGCCCTCCTCCTCTTCTGGCTCTGGAGAGGGCTGCAATTTGCATCCTAGTTGCGACTTAGACGCCTCCAATCTCCTAGTTCTCAGTTACAAACGTCCCATCCCCCCCAGGTCCCGGGTCCGCGTGACGCGGTTGATTGTGGCAACTGTTCCCGGCAACCGCCCAGGTGCTAGCGCGTCCTGCCGGGCTCTGAAGCCCGGGCGGTAGGAGAGGCAGCCAGGGCCGGATCGCGGGGGCCGGGGCGCAGGGGCAGGGGTGCAGGGCGAAACCGCTGGAATTCAGGGGCAGGGGTGCGGGTGCAGGAGCCGGGGCGCGGCGCGCCGACTGCTGGAGCTCGCGGGCAGGGGTGCGAGGCGCGGCAGGGAGCGTCCCCGGGGAGGCGCAGAACGAAGCCAGCGGTGGAGGAGCGCGCGGGCTCCGCATGGGTTGCGGACCTTCCCGGCTCACTGGAGGGCGGAGACGCGACCCTGCGCCCAAGAAGGGCTGGGAAGCGGGATTCGAGGTAATGAATGAATGAATGAATGAATGAATGAATGAATGAATGAATGAATGGAAAGATAGAGAGAGAGAGAGAGAGAGAGAGAGAGAGAGAGAGAGAAATGACAAAAAGCCTGGGAGGCATCGCGATTCCCACGCTTGGGGGCGGCTGGAGTTGGCTGGAGCAGGGTTATCCGAGGTTACAACCCACTAGTAGGTGGGTAGTGGGGTAGACGAGGTGGGAGCAACTTTTTTCTGCCGATGTTTAACTCTGTCTTAACAAGCACTACATTGACGGACAGATATCTATATCTACAGATATAGATCGATATCAAAGGAGATGTATATAGAGAATAGATATGGATATAGATATATAACAATAAAATCACTTTTGAGAGCCTCCCGTGTTTAAAGAGTTTTCAAGGGTGGTCATACCCCAGAGCAGAGGCAGAAATAACTGGACAAACCTTGGGTTCTGCCCAGAGCAGGGTTGGCCAGGATACCCAGGGAAGCCTGGAGGTCCTGGAAGTTGCCATATATTATTGGCTTCTGGAAAATGGGCTTTTTGGTGTTTACCTAGAGCTGGAAGGGATCTTAGACGCCATCTGGCTGCCTCCTCTCCCTTCATAGATGAGCCCCCTGAGGCCCAGAGAGGTGGATGACTTGCCTGAGGCTGCACAGCTTGCTTGGGAGCAGAGCTAGAGCAGAATCTAGTTTCAAGGAACTCATTCCAATATTCTTTCCACTATATCTCAAGGCTGCATGCCCTGTAATTCTTCTGGAGATATTAAGGGGAATATTTTCCAGTATGAAGCATGGAGGGGGGATGGGCTGGTCGAAGCAGAAGTGAGGTCCATGACATATTTATTCCTGTCTTTGCCACCTTCCAGATACCACAGGCAGAGCTAGGAACCCCCAAGTGTCCATTTCAGAGGGGCCACCCAAAGATAGTAATACCACATAATTTATCATCAAAATCACACTTTTAGAGTGAAAGGAAGCACTATTAATAATTTTTCCAGCCAGGCTCGGTGGCTCAGCCTGTAATCCCAGCACTTTGGGAGGGCGAGATGAGTGGATTGCCTGAGCCTACAGGTTTGAGACCAGCCCGGGCAACTTGGCGAGACCTCGTCTCTACAATAAAAAAAAAAAAATAGCCAGGAGTGGTAGTGCGCACTTGTAGTTCCGGCTACTTGGAAGGCTGACGCGGAAGGATCGCCGGGTCAACGCTAGGGTGACCGTGAGTGTGATACTGCACTCCAGCCTGGGCAACAGAATGAGACTCCAACTCAAAAAACAAACAAACAAAAAATAAAATAAATGATTTTTCCCAGTCTGTCTGAAGCCCAGCAAATGGGAACTTGTGGTCACCTTTCCTAATGGGCATTTTTGGAGCTGCTGTTTAAAGGGCACACACTGTCTCAGCAGGTACCGTGCAGGATGCTATTTGTTGCCAATTACAGCACCTATTTCATGTGGGGCACATCTGCTGGACTCCAGTATTACATTTCAAAACAAGCAGACCAGAGTCTAGGAAAGCTGAGACTCCAGGCTTTGTACCTGGTGCCCTGGGGGAAGCCTGTGCCGAAATTCCCACCCATCTTAATACTGACTGTGTTTAGGGTCCCTTTACCTTTTATGGAGCCTTTCTGCCTCTCCTGTCAACACCCTAACCAGTCTACCCCTTACACTATCACTTATCTTCCCAAGAAAAACATTCTCTGTAGTGTGCAAAACCCTTTCCAATGTGGTCTCAGTCTTTCCCTTTAATGTCCTACTCTCCTCTACTGCCAGTCCCTGTCACTTGTGGGCTGTTGGATCTGCCAAACCAAATGACTTGCAGGGAATTCACTTTTACCTTAGTCTAAAGTGACAAGAAGATGCTATAATAAAATAATGCATAATAATAAGAAAAGCATGGAAAACTTTAGTTTGAGATTTCTTCTCTATGAATAGCCCTGCCTGTTTTTGTTTTTTTGTTTTTTTGTTTTTTGAGTTGGAGCCTCACTCTGGAGTCGCCCAGACTGGAGTGCAGTGGCCGCTCCCGCCACCGCAGCCTCGACCTGCTGGGCTCCGGCGATCCTTCCGCCTCAGCCTTCCAAGTAGCTGGAACTACAGGCATGCACTACCACGTCCGGCTAATTGTCTTTTTTAAAAATTTATTGTAGAGATGAGGTCTCGCCCGCCCAGGCGGGTCTCGAACCGCGGGCTCAGGCAATCCACTCACCTCAGCCTCCCAAAGGCGCGGGATTACAGACTGAGCCACGGAGCCCGGCTAGCCCTGCCTGTTTTAAAAGGGGAGAGGCTAGATTTGAATAGGTTCTCTCCAAGGATCCTTCACAGATATTTTCCTAATAGCTGATAAAAAAATTTTTTGTAGATTGTCGAGAAAAGGGACAAAATTTATTAAAGTCTTCTTTGTCCGTATTTTTGGAGAGCTGTTCCTTATTATTATATTTATTAGAAATAAATTAGAAAAAATAAAAATTAAAGAACCTATTTCTCCTATATGTCTATAGAGAAATACATTTATAAAATTCATCTGTTAATAATGTGATTTACGAAAGTTTTAGCTCCAGGGAACCTCAATAAATTATTCCCTCCAAGCTGTTCGGCAAATATGTTTCCCCAAAACTGTAGAACAAGTGTAGTACATCCAGGCCAACAAACAAATAAACAAACAAACAAAATCACCTGTCTATAGTTTAAAACAGTATCTTTTGAAAAATACTGATGATTCCAGCTATTAGCCTGGAATTCACTACTTTTAAATTTAATCTAAATTTGATAAAATGTTATCCCCATGACAACGAAGTGTAAAACAAAGTTGATACAAAACGTAGAAGCTCATTGAATCTGAACTTCTGCTACAACTTCATCTGAAAGAAAAGATAAAACCTTTCATACCCCTGCCCCACCTTTCCCCCAATATCATCACTTATATAGTACTTACTGGTGTGAAATACAAACTCTGCATGCATATATGGAACAAGAACACTGTCTGCCATATCCCTGAGAGACACAGATCTGATTAATTTGTAAATATATGTGGTCTTTGATCTATGTCTATTCTCAAGTCTATAATCATAAATTTGGTACAAATTTCCAGATTGTGTTATACATACATAAGATATTTGAACGATGTTCAAAGTTTTCAAAAGAGAAGAAATTTAAATTTCTGCTCTGGAAACTGAAGGCTGGTTTATGTTATTTTATGCTAAAAGATTGTGTTTCTTCTGCTACAATGTAAGTTTTGGCCACTAACGGGGTTCAAAGGCAGCCTGTCTCTAAATAAGCATGGATCAGGAGACATCCTTGCTAAGACCTGGATTCTAAATTCAGGTTTTTATAGTGGCTTTGATGATACAATTGTGAGGTCATTCAAGGTTGTGGTGTTTGAATCTATTTTGAGTTGTAATTTACAAAACATCATTGTGAACAGCACCTTTTAGATTGAAAATATTCAGAGTTGCTCTCAATTCCAATATGGACATTTTACTGTTGCTGTTGCTGTTGCTATTGTTAAATTAATTCCATTTTTCAGGATCTCCACTTGGAATGTTACATGAAAAAAATAGCTCCTGTGTGCAACTCAGTGCTTCACTAGGATCAGAAATCTGCAAAGCAAAATAAACTTGTGAAAATAATTGACTTGCTGCAGATATTGGCTTTTAATAGTTTATTTGTAAAGAAGGAAAATAATTCTCAGCATGATTTTCTTCTGTACCTTATGATTTGCATAAGTTATGAGATACTGAAAGAAAAGTGTCAGACAAGGTCTTATTTTCCTTTGTTATATGCAACAAATACATATATATAAATGTACTGTATATTATATATTATATGTTGCTTGTAAATACTTTTCCTGGGTCCACTTATTCTACAAGGACTGCATGGACAGCACTTGTTTCTATGAAGATAGATGGAGGGAGAAAGAGAAAACCACATATTTATTTTCAGGCAATTTTTCTTGCCTCCATTCCTATTTCAGATCCATTGAGTTTTTGTTTGCTTATTTATTTGTTTTTCATGTTTCCCCATGTAGTCTTGAGCCACAGAACCAATTAACCTTCAACATGATGAGCTGATATAGATTTAGCTGAAATGATCATTTTTATGTAAACACAGTGATAAGAAGGTATGCAAGCACCCCATGAACATTTGAGAATTTCCCATTGAATTATGATAACCTGATCATAATCACCATAACCTAGTCATTGTGATTTCTGCTTAGCCTCTAAGGGACTTCAAACTTCAGAGTAATTCCAGAAAGTAGTTAAGCATGCTTATATTTTTTAAAAAATGTTTTATGGCTTTTATTGTAAAAGTACCAAGAGTTTCAGGCTAATGTCTTATTTTTTATTCACTTTTCCTAAAGGAAAAGTCTTCTGAATAGTTCCTAGAGTTACAATTTTAGAACCAGAAGGAACCTCCCTTTTTCAAACTGGACCTCTAATATTTCTGGATCCATATCTTTTTCTCCAATTTTCACTGCCACAGTTCTAATTCATGTTTAGTCAACTATCACAATTATTGTAACTGATCACCTTACTTTGTCCCTTTCTTCTTTACACTTTTTGTCACTTGCACTACCCCAAGAATCATCTTTCTACAAAACTGATTATTTTATTTTGCTTCCATGGGTAAAAATCTTTTTTTTTTTTTTTTTTTTGAGTTGGAGTCTCACTCTGTCACCCAGACTGGCGATTCTTCTGCCTCAGCCTTCCAAGTAGCTGGAACTACAGGTGCGCGCTACCATGCCCAGCTAATTATTTTTTTTTAATTTATTGTAGAGATGAGGTCTCGCCAGGCAATCCACTCACCACAGCCTCCCGAAGCATGGGATTACAGGCTGAGCCACTGAGCCTGGCTGGTAAAAATCTTACAAAGAATTACTGTTGCATTCAAAATAAAATTAATCTCCTTGACTAGTCACAAAATCTTTCCTGTCCCAGTGCCTCCTACTGTCTACCTTGATCTGTTTCCACTTCACTGGAATAATTCACATACCTGGACATACAATATGGTTTTATATTCCTGTCTTGTACATGCTTTGCCATCTAGGATGCCCTTTTCTCCTTGTCCATTGGAAACTCATTTATCAAGATCCAATCAAGCATCCTTTCCTCTTTAACACCTTTTGCTACCCATGACAAGATACAAACTTGTATCATGGTATATATAGCAAGGTTGTGCTGCATAGAGTAGGAGGTTGGGCTCAGTGGTGCATATCTGTAGTTACCAACTACTTAGGAGGTTGAAGCCCAGCAGGTTGAGGCTGCAGTGGCCGTGAGCGGACAGAGTGAGACTCCAACTCAAAAAAAAAAAAAGAAAATTCAAGGGAGAAGAAGAGTACCCCTTAGACCAAAAAAGGGAAGCTTTGTCTATTATATGTGTCTTAGATGGTGAAGCAGTTGATAACATCTACTGAAATGAGAAGTGAGAAAGTTGAAATGATAGGCCAACACTGGGAGGGTTGAAAGTTGAAATGAGAGGCCAACACTGGGAAGGTAGTCCTCAAACACAGTAGTTTGAGGAGATGAAAGAAAAGTTTTTTGGAACATATTAACAGTTAAAATGTACTTTCAAAATAAATGACAGTTCTTTAAATTGAATTAATTTAGCTTTGTGAAAAACTCATTACATTTTTCTTCTTTTGCTGTGGAACTGTGAAAAATTTGACATGAACCAGTATTTTGTCATAAATGTTTACTAAATCACAGATAGCCCATTTTTATGCTGTGTTTTGACCAATGTACAAGCATGGAACTGTGGTATGAAGAAATAGGCACTCTTAAAAGGAGACTGAGGGTTTACAAATTAGTGCAGTATTTATGGAAGGCCTTGTGGAAACACTTATTTATATAAAATGTGCATAACCTTGGACCTAGCATGTTCACATCTAGGAATTTGTTCTCATGGAACAACTGGATGGGTTCACCTTGTTGTACATGCACAGATACACATTCAGTACTGTTTATCACATTCAAAAATTAGAAACAACCTAGATGTTCTTCAGTAAGAATTGCTTCAATAAATTGTGGTATGGTTACATAACAGGCCACAATGCAGTCATCAAAAAAGTGACTACTCCTTGCCATTAAATGGAATGAAATAGACCTGTATATGTTGACACAAGTAAATGTTTCTGATATATTGTTAATGGGAAAAAAGATGTAACAGAATAATATTATTGAATATGTAATTCTATTTATTTATTTATTTTTAAAAGTTTATTGAAATATCATTCATATATCATATGATTCACCTGTTGTCTAATTAGTCTAATTGTGCTGCTACAGTAGAATGCCACAGACTTGGTAAATTATAAAGAATGGAAATAGTTTTCTAGCGATTCTGGAGACTGGGAAGTCCAAGATCAAGGCAACAGAAGATTTGGTTGTCTGATGAGTGTTGCTCTCCTGTGTCTTCACGTGGCAGAAGAGCAAACTAGCTGAACACTGTGTGAAGACTCTTTTATAAACACCTTAATCCCATTAAGGAGGGAAGAGTACTCATGGCCCAATGACCTCTTAAAGATCTCACCTCTCAATGCTATCACATTGGCAACATCTGAATTTTGAAGAGGACACATTCAAACCATGGCACTCATTTAAATGTACAATCACCACAATCTAATTTTGGAATATATTTGTCCTCCTTCCCCCGCCAAAGAAACAATTACCCATTAACAGCCCCTTCCCATTTTCCACACTCCTTGCCCTATCCTAAGCAACCACTAACTCTATTTTTTGTTTCTAAACTTTGCCCATTCCAAACATGAATGGTCTTTGCAACTGTTTTCATTCATTTAACATGTTTCCAAGTGTCATCTGTGTTGCAATATGTGTCAGTATTTAATTTCTTTTTGTTGCCAAATAAAATTCCTTTGTATGACTGTACCACATTTTAGTTATATATTGATCAGCTAATGGATACAGGTTGCTTCCTCTTTTCAGACATTATAAATAATCATTGTGAACATTCACGTGCAAGTTTTTGTGTGAACAGATGTTTCCATGTTACTTGGGTATATATATGTAGGAGTGAAACTTCTGGGTCATATGATAACTCTATGTTTAACTTCAGGAACTCACAAAGTGTTTTTCAAAGTGACTGCATCATTTTGCATTTACACAGTAATATATGGGAGTCCCATTTCTCCATATCCTCGCCCACACTTGCTATTGTTTTATTTCATTTTAGCCATACTAGTGGGTACTAAGGGGTATCTCGTGGTTTTGATTTGCATTCCTTTTAAGACTTATGGCATTGAACATCTTCTCATGTGCTTATTGACCAATTCCAATTTATTTTTAAAGTTTATGTTTATATGAACAAGCACATTTATGCACTGGTATATTAAGATGTTGATGGTGTTTCTGTCTAGGGAATGTTTTCATATTTTCTACTGTGTCTCTGTATTAGCCAGGTTTTGACCAAAGGAATAGAAACAGTAGAATAGATGAATGGATAGGTCGATAGATAAATTGCAAATAATTGGCCTTTAGAATTATGGAAGCTGGCTAAGCAAATCCAAAATCCACCGGATAGGGCAGGCAGTCAGAAAGGACAGAAAGGTTGAAGCTGCAGTCCACAGGAAGAATGTTTTCTTCCTCAGGGGGACCCCAGTTTTACTCCTGAAGCCTTTCAATTGATTAGATGAAGCCCACACAGATGACCAAGGATAATCTCCTTTATTCATAGTCAATTGATTGTAGCTTGTTAACCACAGCCACAGAATACCTTCACAGCAACACCTAGATTGTGTTTGACGGAATAACTGACTACTATAGCCTAGCCCAGTTGACACATAAAACTGACCCTCACAATTTTCTTCTATATTATTTCATTATTTTTATGAGTCTGCTTTACTGTTTTAATCAGTAAAAATAGTTTCTTTTTTTAAAAATAGCCTTTAAAAAATACCATAGTAACTTCTACTTTCAACTTGATGATGATGAGTTTGTTTATCTTGGTGTCCTCCAGAATGCTCATCAGCATAGTAACTTGTACTTGGTGGATTCGTGTCAGATACTGTATTAGTTTGCTATAGCTGCTGTAACAAATCACAAATTCAGTGGCTTAAAACAATAGTTGTATTCACTTACAGTTCTGGAGGTTGGAAGTCTAAAAGCAGTTGTACTGGGCTAAAGTCAGGGTGTTGGTAGGGCTGGTTCCTTCTGGAGGATCTGAGGAAAGAATCCTTTTGCTTCCCTTTTCCAGATTTTAGAGCTGGATTCTTTACGTTCCATGGCTCCGGGCCCTTTCCTCCATTGGTATCATCAGATGTACCTCTGCTTTCTTCATCACATCACCTTCTCCTTTTCTGTAGTCACATCTTCCTCCACCTCCCTCCCATAAGGACACCTGTGATTGCATTTAGAGCCCACCTGGAAAACTCAGAATCATCTTGCCATCTTGAGAACCCTAACTTAATCCCATCATCTGCTAAGTTATTTTGTCATATAAGATAACAGGTACAGTTTTCTGAGTACTCTTCTGCCTACCACTGAGAGTAGTTGGCCAAATATTCACAAAACGGACCCTGTGTCGTTGGTTTTGTTTCCCAAAATATCTTGTCTCTCACAAAACTATTCCCTTTTCACAGGCTGATGTTGGTGTGACTCATTCCAGGGGGAATTGCAGCCCCCAGATTGAAGCGGCACTGCCTAAGGACACTGTGGGCAGTGCAGAAGACCTGGAACATGCCCAAATAGGAACCATTCCAGAAAGTTCTCCATCTCCTGGTGAAAGAAACAGAAGAGTAAATTCAGGTAACCTCCCTCCGCCACTGTTCATGCTGATCTTCATAAAATGCTGTTTCTCACAATATTATTATATCATGTGTATCTGGTGGCCATTTATCACTGCTTTGTGGGCTATGAAGTACTTTCAATGGCAAAGTTTTTTATCTCTAACACATTAGAATTTAGCCTTAGACCTTCATTATATGACTAAATAATGCTAACTGTTAATCTTCTTGTCGTTGAAATAATTAAAACCATTTAAAAAAAAATTGAGAATTGAGAAGAGACCTTAGAACTTTGACAGTTTAAAGAAATTTAAACTCCATGTCAGCATCTTTTCAAGGGAAAGTTCTACATTTGCAAAAATAAATAAAACCTACATCAAATTGTTTTCCCTATCTTTCTCCATCCAAAGTGTCAGCAAATATACAATAAAAGAATCTTTTTAAAATGTAAGAGAGGTAATTATGATGTAGTGTGCTATTTAGAAATCTTTTTCTATGGCGTGGTTTCTCTTTATTTGAGTTATCCCCGGGGTTGATTTATCTACATTTGATTAGACTTTGAAACAAATTGAACTTCACAGACCTCAAGGAAAAGTACTCTGTTTTATTGGCAAGGAAGAATTTCTTGCTTCCTCATTGCTATAGTTTCTTCTAGATGTACAAGTTTGGGTTGGAAAACAAGTGGATTAATGCATGTGATTCTTTGTCTTGGGCTTTCCCGGCACACTTGAGTTATTACAAATTTTATTTTTGCCCACCTCTTATTGTTTGATGTGGAGTCCACGTGACCTCTGCTAATATCTGGGAGGTCTGGGAATGCAGTACAGGAACGGCTTCTCCCACTCCTCTGTGTATTGGGCTGGTACGTACATTTTTCTCTCTCTGTTGATGTGACTTCCTTCCAGACTGCAGCATGAGTGCTAAAAATCTGTGCTGATCACAGACTACAGATTGTCAAGCAGACAGGGATTTGGTGTGCCCAGGACAGTCGGTCCCACCAGCTGTATGTACACTGTTAAAGGCAGTATGTGGAGTGTGGCAGGTAAGCAGGATAGTGCCGAGACAGAACAACTGGGGCAGGTGTCCATCACCAAAGCAGGTGTTTCTAAAACATAGTGTCAGTGAGTTTTCAGGAAGCACCTTGCCACAAAAATGGATGAGATCGGGTGCCCTGGCTTTTCCATTTGTTCTCTGCCCACTTTGCTCTGTCTTCCCGCCCTTGTCTTCCTCATTTTAGCATCTCTGCTCTTTACATCTACAGAGTATATTTGTTAAGAATTTCAAGTTCCACACTAACATTTCCCAAGTGTTTCCTTTAAAATAAAAAGAAGAAAAACTTTTTATTTAAAAATGTCCTTTAAAAATAAATTTTTGATTCAGTATCTAATCCCAGATCTCATGTTTAGTTTAGTTGTCATGTGTCTTTCCTCTCCTGTAAGCTGAACAACTACTCGGCTTTTCTTTGTCTTTTATGACCTTGATTCATCCAAATATAAACCATTTGTAGAATGATCCTCACTTTCAATTCGTCTAAGGTTTCTCCATGATTGGATCTAGGTTATGCATTTTTAGCAAGAATTCCAAAAATGATATTGTGTCTTTTTTATGAAGTACATAATACCCGTATTTGACTCGTTATGGGTTTTAGTTTGTGGGGGGGGGGGTTGTTTTTTACTTTGCAAAAGTCATTTTTTTAAATCTAGTAAAATTTATCAATTTTGAAATATACTTTGAATTTCAATTCAGTTAGAAAGCCTTTTTCTGACTGAACAAAGTGGCTCATGCCTATAATCCCAGCATTTTGGGAGGCCAAGATGGGAAGATTGCTTGAGGCCAGAAGTTTGAGACCAACACAGGCAACATAGTAAGAACCTGTCTTTAAAAGGAAAAAAATAATTAATTTTAAAAATTAAAAACAAAATTAATAAAGTCTTTTCCTGCACCAAGGTTAAAGATGCATTTACCCATGCTTTCTTGTGTAATTTCACTTTTTACACTTATGAAGAATTTCTAATGACATGAGAAAATGCTAATATAAGTGTTGACTATACATGAAATAAAAATGTCCAGGATGATGTCAAATTTATAAAAAGAAATTTTTATGTATTAACAATGGATGGTGAGAGTATGGGCATTTTGATTTTTATCTTTTTTTCTATATTTTCTAAATTTACTACAGTAACTATGTATTACTTTTATAATGAAAAAAAGAAGCACAATATTGTTTGTAAACATTTCTCAATATTCTTCAGTGTCTCAAGAAAGCATGATAATTTGTTGAATGTGGGTATTGAAGATAAACAGACATGGATTCAATCCTAGTTAACACATTTGCCACCTGTGTCACCAAGTTTGCTAGCTTCCTTCATATCAGTATTTTTTTAATAATATAGGAATAGCAATATCTCTCTCAGCTTAAGTTTGCATTAGATGTTATACAACAGGGGTTCCCAGCCCCCAGGCCACAGACCAGTACCAGTCCATGACCTGTTAGGAACTGTGCCACACAACAGAAGGTGAGCAGCAGGTGAGTAAGTGCAGTTTCATCTGTATTTACAGTTGCTCCCCATCACTTGCATGACTGCCTGAGCTCCACCTTCTGTCAGATCAGCAGCAGCTTTAGATTCTCATAGGCGCATGAATCCTATTGTGAAATGCACATGCGAGGAATCTAGGTTGTGCACTCCTTCTGAGAATCTAATGCCTAATGATCTGAGGTGAAGCTGAGGTAGTGAAGCCAGCACTGGGGAGCGGCTGCAAATACAGATTAATATTAGCAGAGAGGTTTGACTGCACAGAGACCATAATAAATCAATTGCTTGAAGACTCATATCAAAACCCTATCAGTGAGTGGCAAGTGAGTTGACGTACTTCAATTGTACAGCTGCATCTGGTGGCAGGCTTTAAGTCAGAATTTGACACTATTTTAGTTCATGTATGGCCCACCCACTATTTTATTTACCATTTCTATCTGTGCCTCTTCTTTTTTTTATGGTGAGTTGTATAATCATTTCATTATATATTACAATGTAATAAAAATAGAAATAAAGTGCCCAATAAGTATTATGTGCTTGAATCATCTTGAAACCACCTCCCTACCCCCAGTCTGTGGAAAATTTATCTTCCATAAAATTAGTCCTTGATGCCAAAAAATTGGGGGACTGCTGTTAAATGTCTCTAGTACAGTGTAAGTATGTAAGTGTAAAAATAGTAGTTATTATTATTTTGACCCTCCCAGATAAGTCAATCTTTGAGTTAAAAAAATCATCTAATTCCTTGAAAATGATTACTTGTGACCTTCTAATTGAATTTTTCCCCAGTCTTTCATGTTTCTTGTTTATTTACCTAGATGATATGTTTTACCATCTTGTAATGAAATCTGTTTGGAGCACTTTAAAAATGAGAAGAAAATTCCCAACAAATGGTAGGGAATTTGTTGGAGTTACTTGTAGTGGTCAATTAGAGAAATGTCTTATAACAAGGAGGTTAATATTATGAAGTGGGAGACATCTGATGTGTGTGTGTGCGTGCGCTTGTGTGTGTGTGTGTGTTTTCTTTCTTCCCAGCACAAATTCCTGAAAGCTAACTTTACTAACAACTGAGGTTAGAAACTCTTAGAAAGATTCCATTCACTAGATGGAATGAACTCAATTGCTATCAGGACTTCCTGATTATTGCAAAATAGAAGTTGGCTTGTTTCTGAGGACTTCCCATTACACTACCTCTGACAGAAAAAGCAAAACTGTCTTTGGCCCAATAAGCCAGCACGCTTCATTTTATAATGTGATGACATAAAAGCAGCTGCTTATTTGCTTATTTATATAATTGGGTGATTTGTAATGAGAGAGGCCTGCCTCATTAGTGTAGCTTATAAAGACTCCCCTATAAACTGTTTCAGTGCTCATTTTTAGAATCACTAATAAAAATTTAGCTGCTATCACTCTAACTCCAGTTCTGATTTGGTTCAAAGACTCTTCTCAAAAAGGCATACTTTTACTTATGCAGATTTAGCAGATGGTATAATTGTAAACTCGGGGTTGCAGAACTAGAAGTCTCTTGGCAACATCACGCTGTTTATCCTTTGTATACAAAGCATAGAAACCAAACTACAACTCGTAAGAGTCACCAGAAGAATATCTGATTCTTAGCTGTGGCTTAGCGTCATAATTAGTCCAGCAAACCTATACTGTATCCAAGTGTGTAAATGTTGTTACAACAAAAAGGCAGTACATAGTAGCACACAAAAGACTTTTTGTCGCGTTAAGATGTGATCTGCTAAGTGAACAGTTTATTATGTTGCCATGTATGCTCTGTAAAGATATTAAGGATAGGAACATCATAGTATTACAAAGATTTATAATAGAAACAGATATTTAGGTAAGAGTGTTGAGAGTAAGATTTAATCAGGTAGCATGATTTAGGAGGCATCCATTTAGCATTTGATGGATAAAATCTTCATTGTTAAACTTCACTTTCTTTTTTCTTTTGCTTTGGATGACCTAGTGACTCATGGATTAATCAATAAGCTCCAGCCCCTAGAGAATCGAGAGCGACAGAAGTCATCTGACATCCTGGAAGAACTAATTGTTCAAGGAATAATACAGAGCCACAGCAAAGTGTTTAGAAATGGAGAGTCATATGATGTCATGGCAAGTAATTTTGTAATTAGTATCAGCTTGTAGTTAAAAGTAGCAATAGAATATGATTGATCACAAGTCATTATTTCCAGTATATGCAAGTTACAATACAGATGATAGCATTTATCTAAGTCAGATATTTCTCCCATAAATTCTCCCACACCTCTGCATACCATCCTTCTCTGTGGATTCAGGAATTGCCCTAATTATTCATGATGAATTAGTCCAATAAAATATATCTTGGATTTTACTAAATTTGAGGGACAACAAGCCTCATTGAGTAACATACTTTCATTTTTCGGCAATTTTTATTACAGGCATTGTGCCAAGTGTTAGGAATATAAAACTGGATTCTGATTTATTCAATTAAAAATAGGCCTGACAAATGTTTAAAGTGATGGATATGCTAATTACCCTGGTTTGATCATTGCAGTATGTGTACATGTAGTGAAACATCATACTCTACCCATAAATATATACAACTATTATGTGTCAATTAAAAAGAAAATAAAACTTAGAAAAGAAAATGGGCCTAACATGCGAAAGCTAAAACAGATATGCTTATGTATATACACACCATAAAATCAAATCTGGAGAAATAAATACAATTCTATAAATAATTTTACTATTATTTTTGTTTGTTGACTAATCTCTCATAGGTTTTCCTTAGCATGAGTAATATTTTTACTCTTATTTTAACTGGTCTGGCCAAAGTCTAGAGTTTTACTTTTTTTTTTTTTTTTTTTGGAGTTGGAGTCTTACTCCATCACCTAGGCTAGAGTGTAGTAACATGTTCATGGCCACCCCCAGCATCAACCCACTGGACTCAGGCAATCCTTCCGCCTCAGTCTTCCAAGTAGCTGGAACTACAGGCACACGTTACCATGCCTGGCTAATTTTTTTTATTTATTGTAGAGATGAGGTCTCCCCAAGTTGCCCAGACTGGACTTGAACCCATGGACTCAGAAGATCTGCTCACCTCAGTCTCCCAAAGTACTGGGATTACAGGCTGGAGCCACCATGCCTGGCTGAGTTTTACTTTTTGTAAATAAGTTCTGTGTGAACCTATGAAGAAGATAGCAGATTTTGTTGTTATTTTGTTTTGTTTTCTTGCCTGCTTGGGATTTTTTAAAGCCAGTGTTCCCAGACACCACCAGTAGTACTTGAAACACATGCAGAAGAGAGAAGGTGTAAAACAGAAATAACAACGAAAAGAAGCCAGAGGAAAAATGAATGGAAAGAAAAGAAAGAAACATATGATGAAAATAGAGACCAGAAATTGCACAAAAGCAGCCTCTTAATGGTTGCCTATTCTTATGTTGTAGGGAAAACAGTCCATTAGGAATAAAAAGACTTGTGATTTAAATCAAGTTTGCCACTTAGACCAAGTCATTTAGTATTTGAATAACGTAAATTTCCTTCTCTGTGTATAGGGAATGTTGCAAACTCATGAATAAAAGCCAAAGTGGCATTTTCTTTGGGGAAGAAAAACTCTGCAGAAAGTATCTGGGGGAGAGGAGAGGAGATTACCAAACCTGAATGGTATTATCAAGCTGTCAATAGTAAGAGGATGTGGGGGAAAGAGGAAGGTAAAAATGGGTCATCTAATGGAAAAGATAATGTCAAATATCCATTTGCACAATGCTATCATGATGCAAGGCATTTTGGAGTAACTTGTCTCATATTGAGGGAGAAAGGAGAGATTTTATTCTAGCTGTAGGTGAATTTCTGATGGTCAGAAAACAGAGTGTCAAAAGAAAAAGACAGGAGAACTGTGAGTAAAGAAAGATAGATTATGGAAACATCCAGTCATGAAGCAATGCCTTTCTTTTGCAGGGAAATGCTATACCCCCCTTGATGTTAATGCCAGTGGGAATAACATTAAAACATTTATCAGTGATTCAACTACCAGAGATGGATGAGTTCTGACTTAGACCTTGTAAGGGAGCCGGCAAGGTTAATTAATATAAGCTACACTGTGAAAGAAGTGGATCTATTCAAAGGTGGAAACCATGGGCTTGACTTTCAATAACATATTAGGTGAACCAAAGATGAAGACTGTTTTCATATTATATAGACCTGGACCGGCTGTTAGGAGCATTCTCAAAAGGATTTGAGTGTGGCAGACTGCAAGAATAGCACAATTCTTTTTTAAAGTTTGTTTTGTTTTGGTATTGAGTCAACATACCCTGACATAAGTCAGGCTTGTAATAGGCCAGAGCAGCAACCCACAGCTTTTTTATTACCTTACGCAGTGGTCTTAAACTTGGCTGGAGTCACCTAAGGGAGCTTTCAAAATCCTATTGTCTAGGTCAAACCTTGGACTAGTGCCTGGGAGTGGGACCTATTTTTTCAGACTTTGAAAAGCTCCCAGGTGATACCTGTGGACAGCACAGGTTGAGAACCACTGCTCTGAAGTTTTACTAAACCTGTACACAAAGCCCTCAAATTCATTACCAAGCTGGGAAGGATTAAAACTTTTGAAATCATAGTTTGTTCCCTAGTCATTGTGAAAAAAGAATTCTAAAGTATTCCTGAAAATGTAACATTTCAGGAGCAGGGGCTAAGATTATACCACGAAACCTGTGAAAATGAAGAGGAGATGCAGTTGCTCGGTGTCACAGATAAAGCCTCTTGCAATTCAGGTGTAACTGAGAACATATGTGTGTCAGACACCAGGTGTCTTGCATATTTTGGGAAAGGTTATGAGGTCAATGTAAAAGGCATGAGGATGAATATTGAAGGGGTGAGAAGGGAACCATATTAAGAATGGAAACATTGAGTTGGTAATACTTTTTGAACTGTCTAATACTTAATATAAAAAAAAACCCAGACTTGATAAAATTAGCTGAAAAACAAACCAAGGAAACAGAAAGGGGTAATATTCTCAAAAAAGAATATCAATGTCAGCAGTTACTGCAATGAAGTAAATCTGATTAGACATGTCAATACTATTTCTTCATTGTTTCAGGAGGAAACATTCTCTTAATAAAACATTATGGGAAAAATAGAATAAACACTTTAAAAATAAGACTTCCAATGTCGACCAGTAGTGTACTGAAATACAAGGGAATTTTAGAAATAGGTGTGACTCTTTCTTAGCCAGGCCATTTTCTTTCATTGAGTCAGGTAACATGAAGTAGAATAAAAGATGCTGAAAAGTGAGGCTCTTCCATTTATCTTCTGAGTCAGGGCCATCCCCTGGAGGTCATTCTCCTCCTAGAAGCCCAGGGGAGGATTTGTGTCCACCACCAAGTCCTCTTTTGTCTTTTTCTTCATTTTCATCATTCACTTTCTGGTGAATACTACAGCAATTCCTTAATGCTCTCTGGATAACCAACTTTCAAAAATGTTTGTACTAGTAGATTTTATGTTGAAGTCAGTGTTAATTGATATGATATCTAGGAAGTATAATATTAAGAAGCTAGCTTACAAAGCCCTCAAATTCAATGGCTCATACCTGTAATCCCAGAACTTTGGGAGGCAGAGGCAGAAAGATAGCCTGAGCACAGGAGTTTGGGTCTAACCTGGGCAACATTGCCAGACCTTGTCACTACAAAAAAAAAAAAAATTAAAAATTAGCCAGACCTGGTGCCCCCAGCCTATAAGCCCTAGCTACTCAGGAAGCTGACACAGGAGGATCACCTGAGCACAGAAGTTGGAGGCTGTGGTGAGCTATGATGGCACCAGTGTACTCCAGCCTGGGAGACAGAGTGAGACTCTGATTAAAAAGAAAAAGAAAAAAGAAAAAAAGGAGCTAAATGTCAGATTGTTAAGCAATTATTTCAGAGTATTTTAAAACTTTCTAAGGAAACTTAAGTGGTTATATTATAAGTGTGTATAATATAGATATGGGTATGGGTTGGTATAGAACACTTTTAAGAGATGTGATTGGTTCTCATTTAGCCCCATAGATATTATCAAATTAAATTTAGTTGTCTTTTATCCTGATCACATTTTTCCCTGGGTCTATCTATCTGAGGCTCTGTGAATTGTCTTTTTATTTATTTACTTATTTTTGCAGAGACGAGGTCTCACTTTGCCCAGGCTAGTCTCAAATTCCGGACCTCAAGCAATCCTCCCACCCAGCCTCTCTGTGAATTCTCTATTGACTCCTGTGTCTGGTCACAGTTTATTCCCTTCTCTGTGTGACTTCCATCCTTGGTAACCTTCAGTGTAGTTAGGGAGTTTGTTCACATTGCATCAGTCTCTGACATTATTTGTTGAACCTCATATGGAGATTTTTAAGGAGGAGGAAGTTGAGTGGGTTAGGACTCAATAATACCAGTTGAGGATCAGAGTGACCTTCCCCAGGAGGTCTAATGGTGACAGAACATACATGACCAGATCTTTTTTCAGGAAGCTTTGGCCTATTCTATAACACAAGACTCCCTTAAGGAAACAAGCCAAAGTAGGTTCATCCGTAGGTCAACAGTTAATTAAACAAGCTCTGAGGCATATATATTGGATGTAAGAAGTAATATGTACAAGTTAAAGGCTAGAAACAAGACTCAAATCTTATCACAGCATCTTAGGATTTGGTGGTCCACTAACAATATTCTTTAAGAAAATAATTGGTAGAATGTGGTGGCTCACACTTGTAATCCCAGCACTTTGTAAGACTGAGGTGGGAGGATTGCTTGCAGCCAGGAGTTCAAGACCAACCTAGGAAACATAGCAAGACTCTACCTTAACAAAAAAATCAAAAAATTAGTCAGTTATAAGCGTCCCAAGCCTGTGGTCTCTGCTACTTGGGAGGCTGAAACAGGAGGATTGTGTTAGCCCAGGAATTAACAGACTGCAGTGAGCTGTGATAGCACCATTGCACTCCAGCCTGGGTGACAGAGCGAGACTCTGTCTCTAAAAAAAGAAAAGAATCGAACTTCATAGGCTTCATAACTACATAGGCTTGAAAGCTGATTTATTTTTTATTTTTAGTTTCTACTAGTAGTACCTCTCCAAGCATGATGTGATTATAGTAAAGTGCCAACATTTGATAAATACTGACTTCACAAAATTAAATGGTAAAGAATACTGATATTTTTCTACAGGTCTCTCCGGTCTTATTTATTTATTTATTTATTTTATCAGGATCTCACTCTGTCACCCAGGCTGAAATGCAGTGGCACGATCATGGGTCACTGCAGCCTCGACCTTCTGTGCTCAGGCGATCCTTCCATCTCAGCCTCCCAGATAGCTAGGACTGCAGGCATATGCCACCAGACCCAACCAATTTTTACTTTATTTTTTTGAAGAGAAAAATCTCTCACTATGTTGCCCAGGCCGAGATTGAACTCCTGGGCTCAAGCATTCCTCTCGCTTTGACCTCCCAAAGTTCTGGGATTATAGGCGTGAGGCACCACGCATGACCAGGCCTTTCAATTCTTTTACTTAAAATGTGAAACTGAAGAAAGCACAGGGCTGTACTGATAGGATTAAATTCCTCAAAGAGAAAGAAGAACATGATTTCACAGGCATCATTTTGGAATTAAGCCAGAGGAAGACACCACCCAAACCAGAAAATCCAAAGTTCTGTCAGAACTACTGATCTCATCATTTTAGTCAAGGTTCAGACTGCTTGTATAGCCTAACCTGGCATTTCTTTACTAGATCTTAGATTGCTATTTAATTTTCTTTTAGTCCTATATGAGCGAACATCCCTAAAAAAACCACTTTCATACCAATTTCTCAGTATCTTTAGTTGAGCCACTGTACCAAGTATGTCCCTTTTTTCAGCAGATGGCTTTTGCCAGCAGGAAGCCTAAGAGCCAATTGCCATAAAAATACAAAATGATGGGGGAAGGGGAACTTGCTTTGACGAACATTCCACAGTTTTCATGTAGTGAAAAACTTCGCACTGTATAAAACAGTCTGATGGCTCTAACAGAGCCAAAATGTCAATGAATGTTTTCCCTTTAGAAGACGTTCTGAGAATCATAGATCCTAAAGCTGAAAGGGAGCTTAGCAGCCCTCAGTTCCCTCACTGTTTCACAGTGAAGAAAATGGAGTGCAAAGAGAAGGGCTGCCTTTTCTCAGTTCATGTGCTGGGCATTCGTGGTAGCTCCAGGGTTAAGACACAAGCCTTCCAGTTCTCCTTCCTCTTCTCTGAGATAGTACTGCATCCTGGTTATGATTTGGTCGGCTGTCACTGGAAAACATCGTTGCTTTTACTGAATGAAAATTAGTTACTGTTAACTCAAGTAGCTGCTATATCCTTTCCTTCTCTTTCTATTCTTTATCTTTTCCTTTTCTTTTCTTCTTTTTTTTTAACCAAATGTGTGAAATGAATGTTATTAAACCTATTTTGTGAATGGGGAAACCATGGCTTACAGAGTTAAAGGACTCATGGAAAACCACTTCATAGCCAAGCCAGAATTCAAACCTGGGTCTGACTGAGTCCCAATCAGGTGACTTTTTCTGCTGTGCCAAACTGCCTCTCTTTGCCTGATTTATGTTCTAGTACCTACAGCGTTATTGTCTGAAGTGAGAGTCTTTTAGAAATTACAATACATATTGATAGCTCCTTTATCTTTATAAAAATGTCTTTGGAGAAATCATCTAAGACAACATCAGTTCATTTTATATTGTAGCCTTAGAGTTTATTAAGACCTCCCCCACAAGTTGCAACAATATATACTAACCCTAGAAAGATGTCCATATTAAATTAATCAGAGAAAGCAAATTGAAGTGTAGTGTACAGGGTATAATTCCATTTAGGTTTTGTTTAACATTACAAATGTCCTGAACATGTATTATGTATACAAATATATGTGCTGAGAATATATGTGGAAAGACACACTGTGAATTCTTTTTAAAAGTTCCATGCTAAGGAGTAGAACTGGGGCCAGGCGATTACATGGAGGATTAGGAAACTATGTATCATTTACATTTTTCGTAATAAATATTCACTATAAAAACTAATTTTTGAAAAGAAAGCATATAAATTAAAACTTTCTTCATTAACTCTTTACAACAATTTTACTTTTTTGCAACTAGAAATTATAAAGTCATTATTACTGCTTTGAACTGTTGAAAGGGTATTTGATCATAGAAAATGAGATTTTTCTGCTGTCTTGAAAATATTCATAAAGTTCCAGTAGGAAAGCCCGGCACAGAGTTGTTGCTCAAATCATTAATTATCTCTTTCCACCACAAAACCAAAAGTAATAAAAACGAATCTATCACAAATGTAATTAATGTGTGGCATGTGGAATAATATAAAATCATCAAGTTGAACTTTTCACCTTGAATTGCAGTTTTGTCCCTCAATGACCATCACTTTCCATCTGGTATTCATTCTCAAGACTGTTTTCTTTGTAGGGTCCTCTTCTATCCAGTCTTGTAACACCTTGCATTCTTTGCAACCTTTTTGTAATAGCCTGGTATTTCCAAGGCATCTAATAGATTTTTCTCTGTAGGAATTAATCTGTTGTTACTAGCCTTCATGCTGTTTTTGTTTGTTTGTTTTTCAGTCTACTCCTGGAAAATTTTTATCCTCTTTTGCCTTTCTCCTCTGCCAATGAATCTGGTTGTTTCTCTGTTTTAAGAAGTGTCTTCTTCCAGGTGAACACGACTGAGAAACCATTGCGAAAGCCACCAGCCAGACTGAAAAAACTTAAGATTAAAAAGGAAGTCAAGGATTTCACAATGAAGGACATTGAGGAGAAGATGCAGGCTGCAGAGGAACGCAGAAAGGTACTGAGTTCCCGGATGCACCGGGGCTGAGGAGTTCTCTATGTGCTAAAATGAGCTCATGTCAGATCTTTCCTCTCAGCGGGTTTTTTTTTTGGGGGGGGGGGGTTGGTTTTGTTTTGTTTTATTTTGTAGAGATGAGGTCTTGCTATGTTGCCCAGGCTGTCCTCGAACTCCTGGGCTCAAGTAATCCTTTTGCCTCAGCCTCCCAAAGTGCTGGGATTACTTGCATGAGTCACTGCACTTGGCCACTATCAGCGCTTTTAAGACAAAAATTGTATGGATTTTTATGACCTGGTATTTTAATGACTTGGTATGCTGTATAAAAACAGTATAAATTAAGTGCTTTTTGAAAACTTTCCTTTGAGTTGTGAAGGAATAAAGCATAATCCTGAAATTGGTTGGAAATTACAGCTTCATCCATATAGTCTAAGTAAGTAATATCCAGTTCTCGAAATTAAGTGAGGTATGGAGTGTTCTTCAGAGGAAAAAAGAAAAACTTCAGCTGGGGCCAGGGGTAGGAGAAGAGGGAGGGTGTGGTGTTAGGCTGAGAGGAGATGCTGCTGACTGTCAACGTTTGCACCTTGGTCCCCCAGGCCTCCACACAGCTTTGTTTCCACAGCCTTCATTTCATAACTCTCTATAGGGCCTCTCAGAGAACGAGGACTAGACCCAGAATCCACAAAGGTAGGCCCTGTGTCTGGCCTACCTTCAACAGGTGTTTCTCAACAAATGTCTGTGATGTGATTGAATAATGAAATAGAGAAACCATAAGTGTTCATTATATGCAGTATTAATTCGAACTTGTAGAAAGTTATTCAGAGCTGGGCACAGTGGTGCACACCTGGAACCCCAGCAACTCATGAGTTCGAGAATAGTCTGGGCAACATAGCTAGATCCCACCTTTAAAACAAAAAAAAATCAGCCAGGCCCAGCTACTGAGGAGGCTGAGGCAGAAGGAACCCTTGAGGCCCAAGAGTTTGAGACTGTAGTGAGCTTTGATTACAACACTGCACTCCAGCCTGGGTGACACCGGGAAATTGCATCTCTAAAAACAATTTTTTTTAAGAAGTTCTTCGGGCTCTTTTTCATTCTTTAATACTGCTTTTCAGACTAAAGAAGAAGAAATAAGAAAAAGGCTACGGAGTGACCGAATTTTACCTTCAGCTGATCTGGGCGGTGCTGAGGCTGCACTTACCAAAGGACTTCAAGTGGTAAGTCCTGCCGGACTTGAACCATCTGACCTGCAGGGAGCACAGCCATTGAAGAGGAAGAAGAGTAAAAGTGATACAGCTTCGATTGATGGGAACTACAACTATGAAAGTGTTGGGTTCGTGGAGTCAGACATGTTCTACAACCAAGCAGATGACATATTCTAAGTCACCATTTGGGGGGAATTTCATAAGGCATCCATTCTCCTCAGTTGTGACATTGTTAGTATGTCTTGTGTTCTTCTTTGCCTGGCCTTACTCCATTGAGATTTCTGCCTGGGCTTAGGAATAATTGTGCGAGCTGCACTACCTGAAGCTTAGTTGAGTAAATTAAATGGTTATGCCAGCCTAAAAAATAAAATAAAAAACAGGGTGAATAGATTTGACAAGCTTAGATATTGTAAAATTTTCATTGTCTTTTATGTGGCTTTAAACATTGTGATGATGTCTTTAATTTATGAGTATCTCCAGCTTACATTAATATGTCTGTGCCAAAAAAAGAATTTCCTTTTCACTTCTGTCCCATGACAGTGCCCACCCTCTGCTGGCCCTTTAAGACAAGTTACATGGATTTGTATTAAGTATTTTAATCATCTGTATGCTTCTTGTGCTGTGTATTTAGAATTTTTTTAAAAACACAACTTCTCGGGGTGGGGAAAAAAAAACCAACAACTTCTCATGTTACAAAGGAATAAAGCAATATCTTGAAGTTGATTGAATTACTGTTTCATCCATATAGTTTAAGTAAGCAATACATAAGTCTCAGAGTTATGTAAAATATGCCATTTTATTCTTGTGAAAGAAGGAAAACTTCAATTGGGGGTAGGGTAGAAGGAATATGTGGAGGGATAGATGGATAGTGGGCCCTGTTGCCAGTGCCTCTCTTCCCTGTGGGTACTCTGAGCTGGGGAATGTACAGGTTCTCATGGTTTTGGAATTATACCTTGGTTCTTCTTTCCCTTACTACCCACATCCAGTCAATTATCAGGTTATGAGTCAGGTTATGGATGTTTTTCATCCATCTTTACACTTGTCCTAGTCATTACCTAGTTTAGACCACCTGCCATTATCCAACTGGGTTACTACAACAGTCTTCTCAATCTTAATACAGTAGTCATCTGTTTAAAACCCTTTATTGGCCTCCTTTTATTGTCAAGATAAAGTCCAGACTTCTTGGTAAGGATCTCGGCCTTTGCAATTCACCGAAATGGAACCTCTTTCAGTTCCTCAAATTCAGCACGTTCTTGCTAACCTCTGAGTCTTTGCACAGGCTGTTCCTTCCTTCCTCTCTCTCCTTCTTGTTCTTTGATTTGATGAATGCCTTCTTGTTTTTCATATCTCAACTCAGATGTCACTTCCTCTAAGCCCTCTGATTCAGGTCAGTGGCCTTCTCTGAGTCACCTTTTGGCACTCTGCACTGCTTACCTTTGCACCCATCACCCTGTGTAAGAATCGTCTGATACATTTTCAACTTTGCCATAAGATATTTTCAGTTCCTGCAGAACAAAGGAGTGGGTTTAGAGTGCTCATGGTTGCATATTTTTTGTGCCTTGGATAATGAATGACTCTTAATAAGTGCTGTGCAAGTACTGCTTTAGAGGATGAATCTATATGCTCGTACATTCTCCAAAAGCAGGAGGATAAACCCAGGAGATGGCTGGTTTTCCTGAGGACCAGTGGCTAAGGGCAGAGCCTGTTTGACCTGAGGTCCACTCAGCATCTCCCATTGGGATTTTGCATATGAATATCTTGTGTTCCTATTGTCTGTAGGATTTTGGACTCCTACAGTGAGCCTATGATGGTGGTAGTAGACTTCTTAAAAAATCACCACAGAACCAAAACCTTTAGAGTCGGTCTGCTTCTTCCAGTGTGACCTTGGAAAGGCATGTAGGCTCTCTGTGTCTCAATTACCTTACAGGTTATTTTGGGATAGTCACCATCCCAGAGTTGTATCAAATGAAATAATGTTTTAAAGTATTGTACAAACTAGATTATACACAATGTTTACAGTATATTAATTATATAAAATCCCATGTGAGCAACATGATTTTTTTTTCTATCTTAAGGTTTTTTTACGGAAGTGTTCCCACAGTGCCATGTGCCAATCTTATAAAATATTAGAGTAGCTAAAATAATTGAACAAGGACACTTAGAAAAATATCTGGGTATAATACATATCTCTGCAAATAATAAAATCTAAATGATGCCAAAATATTTTCAACACAAATGAATAGTACTTGTAAGTTAAATTACCAAAATAATACTTTCTCCTGAAATCTTATGCTCTTGCCTATGTCATTTATAGCGGCTTGAATGACATGCTTGTTGAGTTAAAATATACATAGTGCAAATGTGAACATTATCACTGATACCCTGGCTTGAAAAACCACTCTACATATATAGAGTGAAAGTTGCAAAAAAGTAATGCATCCTAAATGATCATCTGTGTATTTTCTTAGGGATGTTATCCACTTGAATGGGATGGGAAGAGAGACTATTAAAATGTACAGTTGTCTGGATTCCAGAAACTTCTTTAAAGTTCTAAGTATATTACTAGTCGCAAAAACCATCTAGGTGTTTGGGAATGATGCAACAGAGACTCTGAACAACTTCCCACTGTCACAGAGCCACAACCATCAGCTGGGGATGGAGCTTGTATCTGAATGCTGCTCTGCCTTCAAAGTGCTACCCAACTCCCTTCCTGCAACACTTTTTAAAAACCTCAAATGTAAACGTGACTTTTTCCATGATCATTTTTCTTTCTTTCCTTTTAAAGGATGATTTTTACCCAAGAGTAATCAAAAGAAAAGAAAGAAATTTCTAAAATACAGCCTCTGGGATAATGTTAATTTTATGTATTGAAATAACATATTTAACTTCCTCATTCTTAAAACATAAAGTTTTAGGCAACCACCAGGGTATTTCAACCATAAATCAACTTTCAGGAAAGGTAAGAGCCAGGAAACACATGATTAGTAAATGTCTTCTAATCATCTTAATTGGTGGCAACCAAAAAAATGCTTGTAGAGTCTTCCTTGTGAAAGATGACCTTGCAATATCTAATAGAAGGTACTTTGACATTTAGTAATTCTCTAATTTTAGGCTGGAAAAAATTCTTGTGGAAAACTCATATGTGAGGTAATATGTTTAAAATAATATTTAAGAGATATGTTTTAAAATATTTTACATATATTTAAAATAACACGCTGTAAGATACTTATGTTTGTGAAAGTAATTTTGTAATCACAGAGACAAAAATGGCATTTATCATGGAGTGTTGCTATAGTGACTACCAGTAATTTATGACTGTGCCTATTTCTGTTTGTTGTTCTATTACCAGTAAATAGCTAGTGTTTGAAGAAATAATTATATGGTAAATACTGCATTTTAAAGACGTGTGAGACTAAATTGTGTTGGTACAGATCTATTTTGCAGTCACACAATCAGTATATGCAAAACCTTCATGTAGGGCATGGCAGAACTTATATCCCAGGCAGGTCAATAAAGGGCATTATTTTAAAATAAACTGTGGGAGATGACAGTTATGTTCTCTTAGTGTCATATTTGCTATTTTAAAAATAATAGCTGCCTCTCTGGTTGTTCAGATTACATAAGCAATATGTAAGAGGAAATACTAAAAACCATAAGAAGCCAAATAACACCAAGAATCCAATATTTTCCCCTCCCCTTAAAATAACTGCAGCAAATTTTGTTAAATGTACTTCAATACTTTTTCCTTACAAAAATGGACTCATCCTACATATGCTGTTTTGTACCTTGCTGTTTTCATCAGCAGCACAGTATCTTTCCATGGGAATAAATCTGCTTTTACAGCATCAATTTTTTTTTTTTTAAAAGTTGGAGTCTCACTCTGTTGCCCAAGGTGGAGGGCAGTGGCACACTCACGACCACCCCAGCTTCTACCTCCTGGGCTCAGGCGATCCTTCCGCCTCAGCCTTCCAAGTAGCCGGAACTACAGGCATGAGCTACCACACACAGCTAATCTTTTGCTTTATTGTAGAGATGAGGTCTCGCCAAGTTGCCCAGGCGGGTCTCAAACCCGCGGGCTTAGGCAATCCCCTCACCTTGGCCTCCCAAAGTGCTGGGATTACACGCTTGAGCCACCACGCCTGGCCTACAGCATCATTCTTAATGATATGACATTGTTTAGTTTCCCCTTTTGTGTTTCTAAGGGTTCCCAGAGTTAAAGACAGTCAAAACATGTTTCCATTTCTTTTTTTTTTTTTTTTTTTTTTGAGTTGGAGTCTCACTTAATCGCCCAGACTGGAGTGCAGTGGCCACTTCCGGCCACCGCAGGCTCGCCTGCTGGGCTCCAGAGATCTTTCTGCCTCAGCCTTCCGAGTAGCCAGAATTACAGGCGTGCGCTACCACACCCAGCTGATTTTTTTTTTTGACTTATTGTAGAGATGAGGTCTTGCTGCCCAGGTGGGTCACCTCAGCCTCCCAAAGGCGCGGGATTACAAGCTGAGCCACCGAGCCCGGCTACATGTTTCCATTTCTATTTTGAAAAGAGGTGACCCAGTCTGGCCACACAGTGAGAACTTGTCTTTAAAAATATATCAAAAAATTATCCAGGCATGGTGATGTGCAACTGTAGTCCCAGCTACTCAGGAGGCTGAGATGGGAGGATCACCTGAACCCAGGAGTTTGAGGCTGTGGTAAGCTGTGATTGTGCCATTGCACTCCAGTGTGGGTGATGGAGTGAGATCCTGGCCTAAAAAAAAAGAAAGAAAGAAAATGGTTCATAAAACCAAGCATGGTGACTCATGCCTGGAATCCTAGCACTTTGGGAGACCGAGGTAAGAAGACTGCTTGAGGCTGAGAGTCCAAGACCGCAATGAGTCATGATGGCACCACTGCACTCCAGCCTGGACAACACGGCAAGACCCTGTGTTTATAAAGAAACAAGGATGAGAGGGAGGAAGGGAAGGAAGGAGAAGATAGTTGACAAGTAAAATAACTCGAACACATTCCCCATCAAAGCAGAACAGTCTTAACAACCTGGAGAGCAGAACTGATGTTCTTGCATTGCCCACCATACCACTGTCCATGGACTTTACTCTTGATCACTGTTCTCGGGTGAGAGACCGAGTGCAAATGAACACTGAAGGTTTATGCAACCAGTTCTGCAAATCCACCTCCAGATTCTTCTGTTCAGGAAGTTGAACTCATCTCATGACAATTTTTATTCAGCACACTGAGATCATAAGTATGCTTCCAAAGCCCACATGATAAAGTGAAGAAAAGAATGACTGTTTTATCCTTATATCTGAGTTGGCTTTTTATTGATCAGGAATAAAGAATAACCACATTTGCAAAGTGTTACTGGCAGAAAAGTGTTCACAGGTAAGGGTCTGAAACCCTTTCTCTTGTCATTTAGAAACAAGACATTAGTCATAAAAATCAAGTGATTCGCTATTTTAAGCACAAAAATTCAATTATCCCAAACAACAGGATCATGGAAATAGTAATTCAATTCCTAGTAATTTCTTGTAATTAATACATAAATTGCCTCCTATTTTAATACAGTTCAATCCCTAATTAAACCACAATATAGTATGGAAAATGTATATGACAACAATTTATGCTTTTTCCTGATTAATTTAAAATTGACCAGGCATAATAACTCACGCCTGTAATCTTAGCACTTTGGGAGGACAAGGTGAGAGTATCATTTGAACCTGGGCAACATAGCAAG